ACTATCCCTCAATTTCCTCCATGAATCATCTTTCCCTCCCTTCCCCCTCCCTGCCGCCCCCCCCCCCAGCAGTGGCAGCAACATCGGAAACGTCCCGAAAACACATCATCATTATAACCCCAACTGCTGCGTCGTGTCCACATAGCTTTCTGTCTCGCCCTTTTTCCTCTCCTGCTCCCTCTTCGTATGTTCTTCATTTTTTATTCCCGTTTATCCTCCCCTTTCTTTTATCTTTAATCTTTATCCTTTCTTATTTTCTGTCAACCTCTCCCTCTTTTTTCCTTTTTTTTCCTCCTCCTCCCGTATTCTCTTCTCCCTCCTCCTTCCTCATTCTCCTCTTTCTCTTCTTCCTTCCTTCTTTCTTCTCTTCTCTTCTCTTCTTCTTCTTCCTCCTTCTTCCCCTCCCTTTCCCCCCTCCCTCCCTCCTCCTTCCCTCATCCCTCCCTCCTCCTCCCTCCCTCCTCCTCCTCCTCCTCCTCTCCTCCTCCCTCCTCCTCCTCCTCCTCCTCCTCCTCCTCCTCCTCCTCTACTCCTCCCTCCTCTTCCACACTCAGATAGCTGATGAGTACCTTGTGCCAAGTTCAGGTTGGCAAGATTTCGTAATTGCTTTAAGATGACAAGAAAGATTTTCTCTTGCTTGTCTTGAATAAATTTACGTTCATACTTGTGTATGTAACAGCCTCACCCCACCCTTCCTGTCTATTTTCCTTCCTCTGTCTGTCTCTATCCCTCTCTTTCTTTTTCTTTTTGTCTCTATATCTTTCTCTATCTTTCTTTTTCCTTCTCACACACACAACCACACACACACACACACACACACACACACACACACACACACACACACACACACACAACACACACACACACACACACACACAACACACACACACACACACACACACACACACACACACACACACACACACACAACACACACACACACACACACACACACCACACACACACACACACAAACACAGCACAACACACACATCGGACAAATACACACACACACATACACAAACACACAACACACACACGCTGAACACAACCACAGCCACAGCCCCACACACACGTTTATTACTCTTCATTTTCGTCAGTTTCATTTGCTAAAATAGCGGTCGAACAGGTCAGTCTAACCTACACAAATGTCAGCATGATACAGTCGCACTCCCGCCCTTAATACCAGTTTGTTCCTTGTTCTTTATTTGTTTCCACTTACTTATTCACTTACTTGTTTGTTTGGTACTTTGTTTGGTTGCTGCGCATATGACAAAGTCTTTTGACTCTGTCACGTAGATCGAGACAAAAGATTACATCTTAAAAGAATGAGGTAACTTCGGTTATGGAGAAAGTGGAAGCGAAAAGGAGGGAAGAGGATCGAAAGACAAGAAAAAATAATAAGAAAGACGTACGAGAGAGATGGCGATATTAAGGCGATAAGAGCCGTGATTAACCGATAAGTGGAATTAATATAAGAGATGGGGAGACTAGTGGTGATTGTTGCATAAGCTACTATATATACATACAGTACATACAGACAGACAGACAAACATGCATGTACGCATACATACTTACATACTTACACGCATACACACTTAAATGCATGCGTACATACATACAAACATAAATACATACATATAAGCACCAATACACACTTACATGCATGCTTGCATACACACATACATGAATACAAACATGCACCAATATACACTTACATCCAAACATACAAACATAACCAATGCACACTTACATACAAACATGCAATCACATTTCCACACACACACAAACATACTGTGCTAGTAAACGAAGAAAAGAAGGAGGGGAAAGTGGCAACGATCCTAGAGGTGGAGTAGGAAGAGAAAGAAGCGGATAAGGAGAGAGAAAAAAAGACGGAGAAGGCTGGCCAAATTTCCCCCAGGTTAATGGTGCAGACATTGCACCTTCCCTCTTCCGCCCTGGAACTCGTAAAGAGGAGGGCGGAGAGGGGAAGGGGAAGGGAGAGGGGAAAGGGAAAGGGGGAGGAGGAGGGGAAGGAAAGGGAAGGGGAAGAAAGGTAGGGAGGCAGGGAGAGACAGAGAACAGGGGAGGTAAGGAGCGAGGGTAAAGGTAGAGAGGGAAGACAAGGGACGGAAAGGAGGGTATGGGAAAGCGGAGGGAGGGGATGAGGGGGGGAGGGAGAGGGAGGGAGGGATCAACAGGTTAATGATGCCAATCCCCCCGTCTGACCTTCGCCGGCCTCAAACTCACGCATTCCTGACCTTATCATTAACGAGGTACCTTTTTCACATAATTTACTTGCTAATGATTCCTATGGTCTAGACAAAAATATCAAAGAATGGAAACAAAACAAAGAGAGAGAGAAAGAGAGAGGAGAGAGGAGAGAGAGAGAGAGAGAGAGAGAAGAGAGAGAGAGAGAAGAGAGAGAGAGAGAGAGAGAGAGAGAGAGAAGAGAGAGAGAGAGAGAAGAGAGAGAGAGAGAGACGAGAGAGAGAGAGAGAGAGAGAGAGAGAGAGAGA